GATGAACCGTGCAACCACAATTCATCAAGCAATCGTTTTACATGTTATAAAACACAAGCATTTGTTAAGAACATAAGGGATAATTTTTATAAAGAGGCAAATAAACAGAGACAAGATAACATGATTACCAATATGTTAGAATTTTCAAGTGCTATCAAAAGAAGGCGGTCAAGGCCCACAGCCCAAAAACAAAAGAAAGCAGGTTCACACAATTTTATAGTAAAATATTTTCTAAAATCTGATCAGTTACCATTTATAGCTTGCATTTTATAAAAACCTATTCCGTGTAATGAAAATAAGTCGTACGATATAGCAGAATATTAACAAAAGGGTTGGACATCCTGTAGAAGACAAACAAGATGGAGACAGAACAAGCCAAAAGTCTATTAAAAAGTGTGAGAGCATTCAATAATCAACTGTGGAGTACGAAAAGCCATTATAATAGGAATAAATCATAGAGAATTTATTTGCGATGTTATCTTAGTATCAAAAAATTAAGCACTCTGTACAATGAAACCTGTGAAAACAATAAGAAGGTCCATTTTACAATCTTCAGAAGAATTTTTGTGAATAAATTTATGATAGGTTTTAAGACTCCAGCTTCTGATGTGTGCGCTTTGTTAAACTTACGAAAAAATAGTTCTGTAAAAGGCTCCAGTGAACGTAATAATTATTTCACTCAAAAAAGGATTCACAAGAAACGAGCTAATCCGTTTTATACACTTTAGAAAACAGATGTACCAGCTGCTTTAATTTTTTATTTCGATATGCAGCAAATCCAGCCCTTACCAAAAGTTTTCGTTCATGAGACAATTTATTCAAGACAAATGAATTTTTATAATTTATGTATTACTGATCTTAACCTTACTAATCCATTATTCTATACCTCGACAGCAGAACAAGCAGGCAAAGTCAGTAGGAGGTATCATACATGCAGCCCTACTGCATTCTTTACAGAATACCGATTTTCAATCGAAGAGGTTACTACGCTTTTTTTGCGACGGATGTGTTTCTCAAAACAAAAATAATATTGCGTTGAGAACAGCAACGCGTTTTCTTCAGATTTAACCCAATAATTCTAAATATAAACGATATACAGTTTTATTTTCTTGTTCGTGGTCATAGTTTTTTGCCGGCCAATTATTTTATCCAAAGATGAGTATTATGACATTTACTCATAAGTAGGTGAAGTGAGAAAATGTGGCATTGATTTAAAAAGACACAAAATCACTGCAGAAATACTATAAGGATCTACTCATGGTAAGTGATGTAAAACGAATTTATATTATCAAGAAAAAGAAAGATAACCAAAACTCGATCAAAGTTAGCAATGCAAAATTTTTTCTTTGAATCATATGCTGAAAATTTTCTTTCACTAACTAAAAGAAAATGTTAATAACAAATTTTTGAAAAACTTAACACTCGAGACTACCAACATCACCTGAACAAAAACTGGAAGAAGAACTGTGTGATTGCCTAGAACAGGAAATATCTGTTAGAATATGAAACTTTTTTAAAAGGAAAAATAAAATGTTATTTGAAATGTTTTATGATTTTCAATTTTAGCATTCATTTTCATTCATATCAAAATTTGTCCATGAAAGTTACATTCAAAAAAAGGTTTGTCCTACAGGTCCACGCAAAATGAGTTTTGTCCAATTTTTTTCATAAAAATATTAGCTTTACCTAATAGAACTCCTGATAAATGCTGCTCAATAGAAATACGCAAGAAGTTAATTTAAAAAGAAATACTAATACTAATTAGTAAGGTACAAGCAAGTTATAATTTTTTTCTATTTTACCACACATTTGATCCGCTGAACAAAACACTATTTGCATGCTTGCTCCTCATTTATAAACAAAAATTTTTTATAAAAAATACTTAAGCTACATAAAAATCCCCCCCCCCCTCCCTGCCTTCTTTCGTTTAATATATCTGGACTAAAACTTCCAACATTCCTCCTCCCCTTTCTCCTTATATTAATCGGATTTCGCTATTTGCGTTTTTTCAGATTATTTGCGTTTTTTCGGATTTCATTTTCTATAAAATGAAATCTAAAAACATATAAAATTAAATTGTGAAATATTAAATAAAATATTTCCCTTTAATGAAACTTCATTTTATTAAAATGCTCTAATTATTTTCATATAAAAATTTTTTTTTTTTTCAGTTAAAATATAATTTTTTTTTTTCATTAAATATTTATATATATATTTTATTCATTAATTGTATAAACTCGCGATTTAAAATAATATAGAGCCACAAGCGAATAAATACAGATTTTTCCTTTAAACTTTCATTTGATTAAATTAAGATAATTAAAATTTCGGTTTACATAATTAACATGTTTAAAAAATATGATCAGCTCTATGTGTTTAGTGTTTTTTTTTCCATTTCTCTACAAATTTACAAAGATCTATGTGTTTAGTGTTTTTTTTTCCATTTCTCTACAAATTATTATTTTGACAACATAATATTATTAATTATGATTAAATAATCACTGCCAGCCTTTATTTTATGAGTTATAATTTCCCTTTTTAAATATTTTTCTATAGCGTACGTAATGTGGTGTTTGTGTAAAAGTCTTGTAAATATTTTTCTATTATTTTGTTATAAACTTCTTCTTTTAAATAAAAACTACTTGGAATTTTTTCTTAAAACATCTTCCTCTTTAACTCTTTCAAACTTTCTGATTTCTCTCCGCACAATGGCACTATAATAAAAAAACAAAAAATAAAAAAAAATACAAAATCTAAAAACACAAAAAAGACGGAAAAATATATATATGTATATTGAAAAATATATATAAAACCATGGTAATTATTGTAACACCTTTCTTTATTTCATTATTATTGTAACCATAGTGACAGCTTTTCGAAAAAATTTAAACCATTAAATTTGTAAAACCATATATTGTAAAACTTTAATTATATGTAAAACTTTAATTATATGTAATTAAATGTAACTTTATAAAATTTTGTAAATAAATATTATTTTATAAAAAAAAAAAAAAAAAAAATGCACCATAAAAGTTTGCTTCTCTTTTCGATTTTCGGGGTTTCGGCTTTACTACTACAAAAAGAATAATCTTTGCATTTCTGTCGGTTTCGTATATCAGGAGCTATTACGTTAGTGCATTTTTTTAATTTATTTTTAAAAGGAAAAAAAAATGACAAATATAAAAAGTATAATAATAATAATAATAACTAGATAAAAAAAAAATTTTGCTTCACGGTACTCAGGTTGTTTAAGGCCAGTCTCGTGTTTACTTTGATTATTTGCGGGTGACGTATTAGTTTGTCGTTAAGTTCTCGCGGGATGATTTTAAAACGTTGTTTTACAATATAGCGGTGACTTCTAGACTTGAAAAGCCCGACAAGAAAGTTTTTTCAGCAATTATTAATTTCTCAAATATATATCATGAGTTCATAACATGTTATGAATTATTATATAATACAACGAATTCATTACAAACCCTATTATTTGTTGTTTAAACCTTAAATATTACGAATTATTAATCTACCCGACAAATTAATTCTATTGTTACGACTCATCAAAAAGCCATTAAATAAAAACCGTTAAGTATTACCGAATTCCCGACATTTAAAAGATTTTCGTTGTAAGAAATGACAAAACGGATTTTCTGCCTGACCTTCTAGATAAAATTATGGATTGATGGTAGAATACGATATTAATGTCGTTTAGGTCACATATAACTAGAAATGTTGTTACTAACAATTTAATTGCTTATTTTATCTTATATTTGTCTTTTAGTTAAAGGACAATTTAAGTCAACCTCCATATTGTCGTCAATAATAATTTTTTTAACTTTGCACAACTTTTGCTAAGTATTATTCAGTTAAGACAACAGCTTTTCAAAAAAAGTTTTATTTAAAAGAAATGTTTAGAAGGTAAGTCGAATTACCTTAAAAATTTGGACTGGCCTTAAACAACCTGAGTAAGCAAGGAGGCGTAAACTTCCTTGTTAAACGCACTTCCGCGGTGTTCTGTTGCATATTTTGCTAATCTTTTATTTGAAACATTTACACTACTTTTATGTTCAGCATTATCGTATGTGTTGCTTGATTTGACGTCTTTTATAACTGATTCAGTTTTGATATTATCATCATTTGATAATAATAACAAAATAAATGTCACTTCATTAATAGATTACAAAGGTTTTTAAATACTAGCTTCTTCATTCCTTTCCGAGAAACCGCAGTAATTAAAGCGTTTAAAAGTACTCACAAAATACAACGTGGTTTGGTTGCAAAAATTTTATAGGAGTAAAAATCTCATATTATATAAATATATATATATATATATATATATATATATATATATATATATATATATATATATATATATATATATATATATATATATATATATATATACATAAATATACTACATATAACACATACACTCAGAGCATATTAAATCAAATTGTTTCAGATTGCAAAGTTGGAACAATAGTAAGTGGTGCATACACTGGTATTATTGCTTATGCAGTCGATATAATCCTATAAAGTCTTTCTAGTTTACAAGAAAGGGTTAATAAAGTTAAGTCACAATGCCATACATACACTGAAAAAATCGAGTTTATTATATCCGGTAAAAGTTTAATTACAAAAAACAAAGTTCAAATAAACAGCTTTTGCCTACACGCTACAAGAGGACCCATTTATCAACTAATTAATAAAAATTGCAATCAACTTGAGCTAAATTTCGTCCAATGTTTGATAGATGGGGGGAAAAGTAGTAATTAGGCGTCAATATAGCGGCAATTTTGAACCATTCCACAGTGGTCTGAAAAACTTGATTTTTTGGCCAAAGTTAAAATTTCGATGTTTTCATACTAAATCAATAATGCTAAACCTAAATCTGAAAACAGTTTTTGATTTAAAGGTTTTGTTGTTCAGATATGGTATAAGCAACCCTGACAATAATTTCAGAAGACGTTTTCATTTTTTTTCTTGAAGTTTCATAATATAGGTACGTGCGTATCTGGCTATTTACGGCACCGATTTATAAGTAAAAAACTGTGACCGTTTTTTTCACAGCGTGCTCGAAGTCGGTGTGGTAAGGATGTATTTATTAGTCTTTTTTTTTAGAATTTTATATCAGCTTAGACTTTTTTTGAAAAGTAGAATGTTTTATGTTGTATAAATTATGTTTTTTTCCCAAAAGTATTAAGTTTTTCAGTGATTTTATTGCTCTTTAAAATTTTGTTCGTGTTCTGGAAGTGCATTGATATTGAAGGCATGTTGCTACACATTTAAAATTTTTCCAGTCAGCTGTGTAAATCTATTTTCTATGTTCCTGCCAAATTTCATTAAAAAATATTCATGCGCAGACACCCTATTTTTCTGTACAGTGGAGGTACATTTTCCACCTTATTTACAACTACTGTTACTGTTACACTTTATTAAACTGTTTCTGTTAATGTTACTGTTACTTCTTGATATAAATTTTGTTATTTTTTTTACATTTACTAGTGATTTTTATTAGATTTTCAAATTTCGTTTCTGTTCTGGAGGTACATTAATATTGAAGGCATGTTGCTACACTTTTAAAATTTTCCAGTAAGCAGTATAAATCTATTTTCTATGTGCCTGCCAAATTTCATTAAAAAATATTCATGCGCAGACACCCTATTTTTCTGTACAGTGGAGGTATGTATTTCCACGGGGAAGGAGGGGGGGCGTAATTTGATGGTGAGCATTTGGTATATTAGATTGTTTATTCATAATAATGAGATATATAGATAGCTTTCATTAAAAAGGTAGACAATTTTTTTTTCAATAGCCTTTTATTAGTAATAAATGGCTATTGAAAAAAAAAAGTTGTTAGTAATAATATTACTAACACTATTGATGATTTCACACACCAAAATTAGTTTCAAGGCTAAATTCTGTTAAATCTAATTTCAAATGCTGAAATAAAAATTATGACACTTTTTTATGGTGATTCAGAATAAAATGCGAAATAATGATAACAAACAAAAACAGCATTTTCTCAATTTTTTTCTGTACCCATAATTTATCATATAACCACCAAACAGCATTATTTATGATATATAAAAATTATATATATCTATAATTTTTTATTGACTAAAGGCAATTTATTAGTTAGTTAATTGTGATTGATTGCTGACCCAATTAAATAGTAATTAAATATTAATAATGATTAAATTACAATTAAAGTAGTGTTATGATCGTTGAATTTAATTTAGTGCATCATGGGACCTAAAAAGAAAACAAATCTATTTTATGGTAAAGCTAAATCTTATTTAGTTTGTAATTTTCCAATACCAGCTCATTTAAATATGGGCTGTAGAAATGGACATGTACTGCATATATTGGCAACTAACAATGATTCATACCAAGTAACTGTAGAACTAATCAGTAAGTATTTTAACATCAACATTTTTCCCAATCAGATTCTGCAATTAGTTAAAAAATCAAAAGTCTTTGTAAAAGGTTTTTCACGAAATTCAAAACAATTTATTGACATCTGCAACATGCTCTTTGAATACCAACCAACAACATCTGCTGTGACTCAAACATCACAGTTAATCACAACCTCTAATCACATAGCTACGTGTTCTTCATTTTTTTCTCAGCAAATCGCTGTTTCGTCTCTATCAAATAGTGACTCTTCTCAAGAATCATTATCCAGGTTGAGAGCTGACCTGGTTAGTCCCAGGAAAAAGATTATGAGAAAGAGATTAACCATTTTGGAAAACGAAATCGCAATTAAAAAGAGAAAACATAAAGAAGATCTTAAAGGTTTAAGAGAAAAGGCAAAGGCTAGACCATACAGATTAAAATATCTAAATCAAGTTATTGCTTGTAAGGAAAAGATAATTCATCAACTTAGAAAAAAATTAAAAGAACATTTTTTAAATATACAGTTAAAAAAACTTCAAAATCAAATTTTTTATTTGAAACTTTCTTCGAAACTTCGTGCTTGCAAAAATAAAACAACTGCTCTGCTTTGTAAAAAGCCAACTGATATTCAAAACAAGTTGATATTATGGGCTATCTCTAATGCCAGGAAAAATCGATTTACAAGTATGCAATGTCATAATGAACTGAAGTTAGAACTGCTAAAACGAATAGTGGATAAAATTCAGAAAAGGGAGGACAAAGACCGCAGAAAGGTAGAAAAAATATTAAAAAGTTGCATGCCCGATCAGGTAAAAGAAATGTTTCCTGACCTAGAAAATAACGAGGCCTCAGATATTGAAGAAATTCTTATTGGAGCTGCTATTGGAAGAAGTATTTGCCACATGAGGTTCGATAATGCCAATAACACCCATGAGGTTTATTACGGCAGAATTGTTTGCATTAAAAAGAAGAACAATGATATATATATATAGTTTCTTATTGGAAACCAAAAGAAAATGAAGATGATGACGGTGTTGAGTATGATATGAGCAAATATCAACTTTCTGCAGACATAATAAGCGGTGATATGGTGATAACATAACAGAA